CCAATGAACAAACAAGTATACAGCATTTGTATTTTCCAGTTCACAGAAAAACTTACAAAAAGGTTTTTAATTAATATCAACTCTTTTCACATTTAGCTTACGATATTTTTTTTATCATCCTTCTAGTCCCACTAGAAGATTATAAAGAGACCCTAAAATCCGAGTTCTGGTCTTTTCATTTCTCCCTCAAGTAACCTAATATTTTTGATAAGTTTCCAATACTCTTACTTGACAAAAGCCGTAGTTGTCCTCAGCTGTCGGAGCCTTTTTGTTTGGAAAAATAGCATCTCCTGACAGGGTAACATTAAACTCTGAACCATTGCCAATGAATGCAAACCAGTCCTGAAAAGAAGACAAGTGAAGTGCTGTTATTGAGCGAAGAACACAATTTATCAGATAATATCAAATTTCCAAGTCTGTTTCTGAAGTTTTTCACGACGTGACTAACACATAATATGTTGCCATCGAATCATGTCAAATGTTACCTAAAGGAAAACCATTAACTGTATCATGCACCCGATCCTATTAATTTTTCTCTTCTTTGTCATTTTAAAAATCTTTTAAAGTATATCATTAGGGGAAGAGAAGGAATTCGACCATGTAGTCCTAGTTGAGGAAGATTTCAAAAAAGCCCTGTCTTGATAGGGTTAACATTATTTAGCTAAAAAGAGGAGCTAGAAGTGCTTGCCGTCATGTCAATCTATTCACGTTACTCTGTAGCGTAGTGTATCGTTTCTTTGGTACCGAAGGGGTCTTACCAAAAGTTTGGGTGTACCTTAATTTAAGCCTAAATTCTGTTTCAGTGCCAGTTTGGATTTTATGATAACCGTCTTCCAAATTTCTCTTCTTCTTCTATTTTTCCTCATGTTTTGAACCATTTTCGGAGCTCCTTCGTTTTTAAAGAAACAATAAAAATAATACAGCAACAACAACATTAAACTCAAAGATGGCGGGCCTAAGATGCCGGATATTTTGAAATAGGCGACGTTTTTGGCGTAGTGTAAAGTCTTCGGATTCCTTACACACCATATAGGGCTGATTATGAATAGTGAGGAAAGTGTTACTTACCACAATCGTGTCTTGATGTTTCCCGTCGAATGCTAAGAATTCCCGGATGCAAACCTCGAAGCTTCCAGAATTCACGTTCTCCAACCAAACATACATGGCGTCGTTAGACTTTNACAATCGTGTCTTGATGTTTCCCGTCGAATGCTAAGAATTCCCGGATGCAAACCTCGAAGCTTCCAGAATTCACGTTCTCCAACCAAACATACATGGCGTCGTTAGACTTTCTATCACGAGTGTACTTTGCTGAGACAAACACAGAAGGTCTTCCACCAAAACTCTGAAATGTTTTTTTAAAGTTAGTAGTATAAAATCTGACACCCTGGTCTTATAACTCATAACGGGGTCACAACTGGTCAATAACAATTGAAGCTCCGGGTTGTACCGAACTTGAGAGTACACCCTAACTCATTCGGCTTATCGCAAGTCGATGATTTATTCCTTTACGCTCCTGTCGTTGTACAACTCTTTTCGAAACTCGAGTTCTTTCAATTATTTCTATTAAAAGCTCACCGAATGTAGTTTTCAATCTGTCGACTAGGCCATTCACTTCCGGTCACAAAACGCCTTACAATTTCCGGTCCAGTTGCACCAGAAATTGTTCTTCATTATTTTTTTTATCCTCTATCTTCTCTTTTTAAAGCGCTAAGTCTAGTCAAGTTCAAATTCAGGATCAGCAACCAGGCCTGATTTCTCCTCTCGCATAGTCAGCTCCCCTACTCTTTAGAACACTCGTGATGGGATCTTGGCTCTCACTCTCGATTATCTCGGCCGGTTACTTGCTGTAACTTTGTAATTCGAGGGGACTCACACGCTGAAGTGAACGTTCAATCCTGTTTCCGTTGTGTAGCAAGAAAAGCAAGTTTTCTAGCGGTCTTTAGAAGTCTGTGCCTGTAGCTTGGGATCTTCCTCTTCATTGGTCTCAGTATCTGCTACCACGTGA